CTTGCAAAAAACTTATTTACCCGAAGTTGGAAGGAGACCGTACTTATCAGGGGAAGGATGCTCTTTTTATCTTGGCAACAGTCTTAGGGGGAAAAGAAGAAAGAAAAGAAAAGAAAAGAGGGAAGGGAACGGAAGGGAACGGAAGGGAACGGAAGGAAGGAGGGAAGGGAAGGGAAGGGAACGGAAGGGAAAGGGAAAGGGAAGGGAAGAAGGAAGGAAGGAAGGAAGGAAGGAAGGAAGGAAGGAAGGAAGGAAGGGAGGAAGGGAAGGGAGAAAGGGAAGGAAGGGAAGGAAGGAAGGGAAGGAAGGAAGAAAGGAAGGGAAGGAAGGAAGAAAAGAAAGGAAGAAAGGAAGGGATGGGAAGGGAAGGGGAGGGAAAGGGAAGGAAAGGGAAGGAAGGAAGGAAAGGAAGAAAGGAAGGGATGGGAAGGGAAAGGGGAGGAAGGAAGGAGTCGGTCTATGACAATTCACCATGGCCAACTCCCCATGGCCAACTTGCCATGGCCAACTCATTGCTGGACAAGAGTTACACTAATATCAAAGAAATGGTGGAATAGAATCATTAAAGAAAGGATGCAAAAGAAGGGACAGAATGGAATGTAGCTGACAAAAATTAAAATATTTTTTTTTATTTATTTTAAATAACAAAACAAGAATTGTTAAAAAGTTCTGCAGTGAATTGTCCCGTGGCAAGTTGTCCGTGGTGGGTTGGCCATGGCGAGTTGGCCGCAACAAGTTGGCTGTGGCAAGTTGTCCCATTCCCAGGAAAGAAAGAAAGAAAGAAAGAAAGAGAAAGAGAAAGAAAGAAAGAGAAAAAGAAAGAAAGAAAGAAAGAAAAAAAGAGAGAAAGAAAGAAAGAAAGAAAGAAAGAAAGAAAGAAAGAAAGAAAGAAAGAAAGAGAAAGAAAGAAAGAAAGAAAGGAAAGAAGGAAGGAAAACCTTAGGGTGCAAACATTGTGTTGGGGAAATGTTGAATGAGAAGGAATTCCACTGCTGTGCTGAGCATAAACCTGAATGAGAGCTTTGAATAGATAATTAGGCAGGAAGCACTGAGTGTGTGAGTGTGTGTGTGTGTGTGTGGGGGGGGTAATTTTCATCCAGAGGAGGGAGGGACTGCAGTGACCCTGTCCTGAAAACACTCTGCTGTCTCTCCACCTCTGTCTTCTTCTTGTTGTTGTTAGTTGCGAAGTCGTGTCCGACCCATCGCGACCCCACGGACAACCTCTATGTACACACAAAATGTCCTATCAGTTAAGAAGGAAGCCGTCTTGAGAACAGGAGGAAGCACAGAGCCTTTAATCTGCAACGTAAAACATTTATGAATGGTGTTACCTAACCTGGCAACTGAAACATCTGCAAGGAACAGCAAAACTTGGACAACCAAGAGCACATCAGCTCAACTCTTGAGTCACAACTCCTCTCTGTATGATTGGAGATGGACACAAGCTTCTTCCGGGGGCCCAAGGCAGCTTTTGTGTTCATCTGCATGGGAGGTGAAGTAGACTGAGCTGTCTTTGAAGCAAGAGTTACAGGGAGGGCTTGATAGGCAGACTGTCCGTCGTCGCCAAATGCCTCTTTTGGGTTCTGCAGATCAAATGCATTGGAGTGCAAAAGGGCCATTGGAGCACGCAGCATGGCAAGTTCCACTGCAGTTGCTGAGGCAGCCACACAACGGTGGGAACAGAGGCAGCTGAGAGGTGGATGCAACATGACACCCAAGGCTGCCAGAAGCCCCTTTGGGTCTTCTGAAGAACCATCTCAGCTCTCCTGATGTTCCTCAAGCATCTTTAGGATTCCATTGTGCTTTCCCCGTCGGGAGAGACCCTATTTCTGCACTTCTGGGCCAAGATGTTTCAGTGGAGCAACTCAAGAAGAAAGCAGGCCAGAATATAGGGTGGTGAAGCTACTACACTTGTATTTTAGGTCCTTTCCCATATGCGTGGATGGAAGGAGAAAAACATTCCGGCTTGGCGATACATCCTAATGCAGTGGTGGCGAACCTATGGCACGGGTGCCAGAGGCGGCACTCTGAGCCCTCTCTGTGGGCACGCGCACCGTCGTCCCAGTCCTAGGCCTTAAGCTGGGTTTTATAAAACCTTTTCGCTTTAGGCCTCTGCTGCCGTGTGCAAAAAAAACAGGTTCAATCAATCAGTCAATTTTAACTTCTCGTGGGAAAAAAAAAGATCTTGCAAAGTTGGAATTGATTGATTGAACTTTTTAGTCCCACCCACCCAGTGGTTACCACTGCAGCCACACCCACCCAATGAGCCACACTGACCCAATTGGCCACACTCAGCCAATGGGCCACACCCAGCCAATGGCCACACCCATCCGGCACCCAATGATACATAAGTGGGTTTTGGGTTGCAGTTTGGGCACTTGATCTCTAAAAGGTTCGCCATCATTGTTCTAACGCGTTGACTGCTCCTCTGCGCTTTAGCTAATTGGAGCAAAATAATATTTTAGTGAATGAAAGGTCGGCTTTTTAAGTATTTTTACTTTCTTCATGCTCAATGTCACACGTGTTCCAGGAGAGCTCCTCTTTCTTCCCATTACGATCTGGATTTCCCAGTATAATACACAGCTGCAATACTGGGAAGCACATTTTGCCCCAGGGTTGAGGAGGTGTAGGAGAACAGCCTTATCAACCTGCATCACCTCTCCCAAAAGAAGCGCCCAGGTAAAGCAGGTGTGTGGAGGAATGATTGAGCCAGAGAGGAGATTTTGGAAGGAACTAGCTTGGATGGTTGAAAATTAGAAGGATTGTTTAAAGATGTTTCGAATAATTGTTGGAAGTGTAAACAAAAGCCAGGCACTTAACTCTCATATCTGGTGGGTGTGCCCCAGTGCAAAGAAATATTGGTTCAAGATTCATATATGTCTGGAAAATTTGACTAAAACACATATAGAATTTAGGCCAGAATTGTTTCTGCTAGGAATATTAGGATCTAATTATGGGAAAGAGAACGAGTATTTAATATTACATACATTGACAGCTGCGAGAATAGCATTTGCCCAATACTGGAAAAATGAAGATATACCATCTGACGAGATTATAATTAGGAAATTTTTAGAATGTGCAGAAAAGGATAGATTAACGTTAGAGATTAAAGAGAAAGAAGACTCAATCTATTATAAAACATAGGAAAACTTGTATCAATGGTTAACAAAATGAGATAATGAAATTTATTAAGATGGCTGATTTTTTTTCCTTTTGATTAATTGATATGTTTTATAATTTCTGTTATTCTTGTTGACTACAGTTACTGATTATTATATTAGCCCTGTTGAAAACTTGTATCCAGACGATAGTCTTGAAATGTCTTTAGGGGCAACCCCATTGTTGTAACTACTCCCACCCCAAGTCTCTCCTTGAACCCTACCTCGAATCCCACTACCTATGTTGACCCTCCCTTTCCCATACCTCTATCAAACCTAATAAAATATTGTCAAAAAAAAAGAAAGAAAATTAGAAGGCTGAGATTTTTGATGGGGATATTCATGCTTGCTGTAAGGACAGGAGCGGCAGGACAGTTTATTTCTAGCTTGCAGCAAGATTAACTTGATTTTAAGTTAAACAGTAATCCAAAGTCCTTCTCCGGGAATGTATTCCATTCACCAAGTGGACAGTAAGGACTGGGCATCCAGCTCCCTTAAGGAGGAGCAGTTTAGGACTTTTAACACATTTCAAGAATTTGCGTCGTCCCCTAGAAGGTCTGTTAATTTCTAGTTAGCTGCCTCACGAAGACCAGGATCTGGGAGTGAAGAAGGGAAGGTTTTCTGGGCAACAAGACTTGGCAAAAACTGTGGGGTCAAAAGGGTAAAGTCTTCCTGGATGTGGCCCACCTCAGTGCCCACACATCCCTGAATCCAAATTAGCTGCAGAAATATTCAAGAGCCGTGTCTCCTGTTTTCTACTGTGCGGCATTTCACAAAGAAATGGACAGAACTCTCTCCCTGGGTTAAGTGGTGGGCAAGGAGCAGATGGTGGCAAGCGTGAGTCTTGCCCTTTTCCCCAGGGATGGTGCTCCAAAGGGGCCACTTTTCTCCTGCAAATGGAAGCCTCGTCTGTAAGAAGCGTCACCGGTGGTCCTGTTCAAATCTTCACATTGGCAGACAACGAGGAGAGATGTCTGAACCCCAAACCCTGCTCAGCAACCTGCATGGAAGCTACGAAGGCCAGGCGGCCCCACAGCTTCTAGTTCAGTGGTGGCGAAACTATGGCACGGGTGCCAGAGGCGGCACTCAGAGCCCTCTCTGTGGGCACGTGTGCCGTCGCCCCAGTCCTAGGCCTTCAGCTGGGTTTTATAAAACTTTTTCGCTTTAGGCCTCCGCCGCCGTGTGCAAAAAAAAAAAAAAAAAGGTTCAATCAATTTCAACTTCTCGCGGGAAAAAAAAGGTCTTGCAAAGTTGGAATTGATCGATTGAACTTTTTAGTCCCACCCAGTCTGCTGTTACCATCGCAGCCACGCCCACCCAATGGGCCACGCCCACCCAATGGGTCGCACCCAGCCAATGGGTCACACCCAGCCAATGGGCCACACCCCCCCGGCACTCGATGATGCATAAATGGGTTTTGGATTGCAGTTTGGGCACTCAGTCTCTAAAAGGTTCGCCATCACTGTTCTAGTTCATTGAAGAGCGAGGCAGGAAGAGGCAGTTTTGTGGCATCACACACTCAGGGCTGTTCCAACGAGCTGTTTGTCCAGAGGACCACAAAGTCACAGCTTGGACAGACCGTGGTCCAGCCGGTGGCCGTGAGAGAAAATATTTGGGCTGAATGCAGCTTTTGAGAGCAGCTGGACGGAAACCAGAGGTTGCTGGCCGTGGGCCTTGGCGCAGGTTCCCAAGGTCTTGTGTCATTCTCCTCTTCTCATCCTTGAGCTCAGATTCATGACGGCCTTCAGCGCGTGCTCAGCATTCGGGCAGCTGTGTCCTTTTCCCCCCATTTGTTTGTCTTTCTTCCCGCAGGGCTTGTGACTCCTCGGATCCTGGTGGAAAATGGTGTTCCAGAAATCGCCCAACGGCGGCTGGGGGTGGGTGATAGTCCTCAGCTCGTTCTTCACCCAGTTCTTGTGCTACGGGTCTCCCTTGGCAGTTGGAGTGCTCTACGTGGAATGGCTGGACCTCTTTGGAGAAGGGAAAGGAAAGACCGCCTGGGTCGGGTCCCTGGCCAGTGGCGTGGGCCTGCTCGCAAGTAAGTCTTCCTTGCAAAAAAGAGACAAGAAATATCTAACCCTTGGGTTTATTTAGAAGACCTTTGCTTTAAAGCAAACATGTCAAACACAAGGCCCAGGGGCCGGATGCGGCCCGCGAAGTGGTTTCATGTGGCCTGAAAAGCCATCCTGGAAACAGTGAGGGAACGGCCCCCGCTGCCTTGGCCCTGGCCCAGGCCGGCCGGGAGCCAATGTACAATTTTGTGGTGGCCATTTATGCTGAAACGCATTCAGTCTTAGCTCCACAAGGCCGTCTGGAAACAGCGAGGAATCGGCCCTGCCGCGTCGGCCCCATCCCCTGGGTGCATGCTGGGGAGGTGTCACCCTTTGTGAGGAATGAAGAAATAGACCATGCCTTGGCGCTTGCCCCGGTCCCACCCCCTTCTGCCAGAGACCCTCAGATCTGTCCCACTCCTGCCCAGGCCCCCCCCCAGGCACCCTTGACACGAATGATGTAGAGCTGGCCATGCCCAGCCAGTAGGCCACACCCACTCCATCCACGTCCACCCAGTAGGCCACACCCACCCTGGCCACACCCACCCTGCCCCCCCTCCGAGGGCAACCGCAATGCTGATGCGGCCCTCAATGAAATTGAGTTTGACACCCCTGCTTTAAAGGAATAAAACTCCGCTGAAAAGGGGGGGTTCGCCTCTCTTCCAGTGGGAAGATCAGCTCCAGCGACGGCACTTCACTGCCAAGTGACCTACACCAGCAACTTTATTACAAGGAGTTTAAGAAAAGTCATTTATTTGCCATCTGCCCTCATCAGCCTGGTTTTGTTTTCTTCAGATAATCTACTGGGGTCGTGCTGTTCTACTTAATTCTAGAAAACATGGTGGCAATGATTTCCGTGGGAAGTTGCTTTCCACTTCAGTTTGGCAGGTAGTCAAGTATAAGACAGATGTTGTGGTTTTTGGTTTGTGAGAGACGCCTAATCTCCGAAGCACAGACGGCTAAAGAGTGCATCCCCTTTCCTGCAGTTAGGATCGAAATATGCAAATAATAATAATAATAATAATAATAATAATAATAATAATAATAATAATAATAATAATAATAATAATAATAATGCTCCAGTGTTGGAGCATTCACCGCTTCTGGAGGCAGGTTGTTCCACTGGTTAATTGTTCTGTCAGGAAGTTTCTCCTTAGTTCTAGGTTGCTTCTCTCCTTGATTAGTTTCCATCTGTTGCTTCTTGTCCTGCCTTCAGGCGCTTTGGAGAATAGCTTGACTCCCTCTTCTTTGGGGCAGCCCCTGAGATATTGGAACACTGCTATCATGTCCCCCCTCGTCCTTCTCTTCATTAAACTAGACATACCCAATTCCAGCAACCGTTCCTTATATGCTTTAGCCTCCAGACCTCTAATCATCTTTGTTGCTCTTCTCTGTACTCTTTCTAGAGTCTCAACATCTTTTTTACATCTGGTGACCAAAACTGGATGCAGTAATATTTAAAAGCAACAGAAAATTAAAATCCCATATTAATCCCCGTCCTCCCCAATTCCCTTACAAATGTCTGACCGACAGAATTTGAGAGCAAGATTTTGCAGATTAAAAACAGATTCTTTTTTTTTTAATGGGCCGTGTTGGATATTTTTACATTTTATAGTTCTTTGTCCTTCCGCTGAACTGAGCCAGGTTAACACAGGCATACTGGAGATTCAACAGCTTATAAAAAAAAACAAACCTAACTCTGCGAATGGCAACTTCTATTTTCATTCTTTCTGAAATGAGTGTAATTTATTCTGCTTGCGGTGAACGCACAGAACTGAGCTATCTAATTTGCGAAATCCTGCCCTTCAATTTTTCCCTGTGCCAAAGATGCTGTGTGTGCAAATACGACATTTCTAGAGATTCCCTATTTCTCGCATCAGTTGTTGGAATTGGGAACGCCTAGTTTAATGAAAAGAAGGACAAGAGGGGACATGATAGCAGCCTTCCAGTATCCCAGGAGCTGCCCCAAAGAAGAGGGAGTCAAGCTATTCCCCAAAGCACCTGAAGGCAGGACAAGAAGCAATGGATGGAAACTTACCAAAGAGAGAAGCAACCTAGAACTAAGGAGAAACTTCCTGACAGTTAGAACAATTAACCAGTGGAACAACCTGCCTCCAGAAGCGGTGAATGCTCCAACACTGGAAGTTTTTAAGAAGAGACTGGACAGCCATTTGTCTGAAATGGTATAGGGTTTCCTGCCTGAGCAGGGGGTTGGACTAGATGTCCTCCAAGGTCCCTTCCAATATTACTATTATTACTATTATTACTATTATTACTATTATTACTATTATTACTATTATTACTATTATTACTATTAATAATATTAATAATAATAATAATAATAATAATATGGGATTTTTGTTTATTGCTTTTAAAGATTACTTTAATTATTGTAAACTACTTTGTCTTTTTGTTTTATAAAAAAAATGGTAGTGATGGTGATGATACTATATTTAAGCCAATACGTGTGTGAGAAGCATTGAAGGAAAATGCTTTTAAAACTTTGCAGTCTAAAAAAATAGAAATATATAGAGATGCAGATTACAGGAGAAGCAATAATTGCCTCTCCATTTGCAGAACAGAGTTGAGTAATAAGAGATTGAATAAATGATCTGGCAGAGTTGTATCTATATGCAAATTTCCTTAATGCAGGCTAGGGCTGATAAGAGGTGATTTTTTTTTGACAGCGCTCATTAGAGGTGATAATAACTTCTCTGGTATCTAAAAAAAATGATTTTGACCTTGGTGGATTTTATAATGGTAGCACAATGACTTTGCATACCTTAAGGACGTTAAAAAATACAAAGGCTTTTGGGATAAATGTGTGAGTCACAACAAAGGAGATGGTCGCTGGCCTTTCTCTAACTGCTTTGTGGTAAAAATAGATTTAAAAGTGGAAACATGAATGCACTGGAAGTCTGTAGGTTTAGCAGGTCTTGCAAGCAAGGATGAATAGAAAAGCAAGAACCGGTGGGGAAGAAGAAGAAGTGAGGGAGGAATGGAAATAGACCATCCCCATGAGTGGCAGGGATAAGTGTGAATATGTCTAGTTTTAATGAAGGATGAGGGGGGACAGGATAGCCGTGTTCCAGTATCTCAGGGGCTGCCCCAAAGAAGAGGGAGTCAAGCTATTCTCCAAAGCGCCTGAAGGCAGGACAAGAAGCAACGGATGGAAACTAATCAATGACTCATGGACTTCAACTCCCAGAATTCCTGACCCAGCCATGCTGAGGGGAAAGGGAGAGGTTTCCAAGCTGAGCCATGCCGGCTCAGGAATTCTGGGAGTTGAAGTCCACCAGTCATAAAAGAGCCTAGGTGGCCTACCCATGAGCTAGAGTCTTCCTTTTTGGATTGAAGAGAGGTCAACCAATCTCTTGATCGACTCCTTCTTTTAATAATTCAAAAATAAGATTGTTCCTGTGTTTTTCTCCCCCCCGCCCATCCCCCGATTGTTCTCATGAAGGTCCCATCTGCAGTACCTGTGTCTCTGCCTTCGGCGCACGGCCAGTGACCATCTTCAGTAGCTTCATGGTTGCTGGAGGCCTGATGATGAGCAGCTTTGCACCCAATATCTACTTTCTTTTTTGTTCTTATGGAATTATTGTCGGTAAGAAAATTCACAAGGTCCTCTTTGGCCCCACCAGATAGCAAGAGAACCAAATGCTAAGGAGTTAAAGGCATCTTGTGGAAGGTAGACTTTAAACCTGGACTTTAAACCTGGACTCTAATCTTCCCTAGTGGGTGGCTGAATTTCCAAGAGACTTGTTGGGCACCAGAATTTGCCTGATATTCAGGTGAACAGCGCGGCTGGACCCATAGAGTTTGGGGAACCCTCCAGACTAGTTTCCTGTATCCTTTCATTGAAAACACTGGTTTATAAGGAGAAAGCTTTGGAAATGAAAGTAACTAAATTTTACCAGAATTGGGTGACTAATCAAGGAAAATGAAGTCCGGAGTTTTAATTGGCTCCAGTTTCCAAGATACGGCTTGGAAATTGCACCAGAATAATTCAAAATTACGAGGGGAATGTGCGATTAGGCTCCATAACGTTTCTACAAACTGTGATATAGCAATGAGAATGGTGCCACGCCAACCATTATAAATTTATCTTTTTATCGATACCAATAAAACATAACCTTCCATTCATTTATTGGTTTTTCATGTAACATTTTCATGCTTTTTACACTCTGCAAGAGGTTCCACTGTTGTAATCTGGAGCCCAGTAGCTCTGCCTTAAGTCTTTGGCTATTCCAAATCCCTGACCAGGTCATTTAGTTGACTCTGTGAAATCAGATGTGGTTCAGGAGGGTCGGCTAAAGTTTAGGTCCGCTGACATAGATGGCCCAAGAGCAGCTGCATCCTGTTCATCATCTTTCTCATCCTCTGAGTGTAGAGCAGTGTTTCTCAACCTTGACAATTTTAAGGCATGTGGACTTCAACTCCCAGAATTCCACAGCCAGCATTGCTGGCTGTGGAATTCTGGGAGTTGAAGTCCACATGCCTTAAAATTGTCAAGGTTGAGAAACACTGGTGTAGAGAGTAGGATTCTGGTGGATCTGAAATTGGCAAGTCCTCACCATGGGGAACAGGACGCAGTGTGGATGGAATGTTTGGATATTCCACGGTCCACTTCTTCTTTCCTGAGATCCCTTTTGCAATTGGGGGAACGTGCAAAAATAGCGGTGGCTACTATGAATTGGTGGCTTCCTTTCACACCATTGGGACTGCAAAAGGCATGGCCTTTTTCTTCTTGTTTAGCCAATGACACAGATAAGTTGCACATGTAATGCAACAATAATGAGGTGCCCGACTCTTGTGTGATCCCTTATTTTGCATCCAAAATATAGGTGGTATGCCTTTTTTTACCACTACCATCACACTGCACTTTTGAGATGCAAATGTAACCTCACCACAACTGTAGCAGAAGATTTACACAGTTGTTTACACAGTTTTGAGGCTTCTTGGCTTCTGAGGGGAAAATATCACGCAACCGTTCCTTGAAAATGTTAGGCCACGGTACTTTCACAAGCCACCAGAGGTAACTATAATATGATGCGTAGGTCTGATCAAGACAAATGTGCCTGGGAATAAAAGAACAATAAATTACAGTTAGGTAATAATATTTGGTCTCCATGTCATACCATTTTCATTGTTCTACAGTACTTTGTCGAGACGTTACGAGGCATCATGATCATTAGACACCTCCCTTCCTTGTAGGCAAATACACTCGCCTGTGTATAAATCTTTCTTGTGAAATATCTTGAAAACATTAGCCAACCAGCACCTTTACTACCTCTTTTCAAATTCACCTAATCAAAATATGTAAGAACGAACACATTTTATCTCGGAGGTCGATAATTTCCCAAAATTTGTAGACTAGTGAAATTAATCAAAAGTAGTCAAGAGTACTGGAGCACTGATTACATGCCATAAACTTTTCTATGCCTTTAGGACTTGGATGTGGCTTATTGTACACGGCCACCGTCACAATCACGTGCCAATACTTCGACAAACGTAGAGGCCTTGCACTCGGTCTCATTTCCACAGGTAAGTTCTTGTAGCTGGCATTGATCCCTGGGTGGGAATGAACTTATGCGGTACTTTGGTTGACGGCGATTATATCTCCCAAACGCCAAAAGTTGGATTTTTGCATTTATCACACAGTTGAACATTACTTCTAATCAGTTTCAAGTTATTCCGTCCTTGGAATGAGCTAGATTTTGATAAGATAATTAAAAGAGAGAGAGACAGAGAATGGGTGATCTGGTTCAGTCCTTGCTTTCTTCTAGCCTCTGTGGAAACACCAATTTTGAAAACAACTGTTGGCTTTGCTCTAGAAGCCCTTTGATGTTGTTGCTTTGCTCTGCAGCTTTTTACATTACTTTTACATTGTTTACACTGGCAGCCAAGGCACAGCAGACGGTGACATGGATCTACTGACAATGTGCTTCTCTTCTTCCAGGCTCAAGCATTGGCCTTTTCATCTATGCTGCCTTACAGAAAGAGCTGATTGAACTGTATGGGTTGGATGGCTGCCTGCTGATCATTGGCGCTCTCTCTCTAAACATCCTAGCCTGTGGCAGCCTGATGAGGCCTCTGTCGGTGGCCCAGAAGCCCAACCTGGAGAAGGTTCCGGATCAATACCTCATTTATAACGGAAAAGAGAAGACCTCTCGTGAGGAACACATCACCATACTTGAAAAGGCCCAGAGTGAGGGGAAAGGGGAGAATCAGGAGGCGGGCAGCAACCACCAAGCAAATGGTGTCCCAGTTCAAAGCCAGCTGCTCTCGGCCTCCCCCAGAGAGTCCGAGAGCTACCCAAAGAAAGTCTCAGAACAAACGTACCTGTGCAAACAACTGGCTATGCAGAAATGGGGCCTGTATTTAAATTACTGGGAGGACACCCTGAGTCTTTTTAAAAACAAAGTCTTCTCCGCCCTGTTTATTGCCATCTTCCTCTTTGACGTTGGCGGCTTCCCTCCTTCCTTGTTCATGGAGGACGTGGCGAGGAGCTCAAATGTCGTGGAGGGGGACTGCGTCATCCCTCTGATCTCCATCATCGGCATTATGACCGCTGTGGGCAAGCTGGCCCTGGGCGCCCTGGCAGATGTAGACTGGATTAACGCTTTGTATCTCTACGTCCTGACGTTGATCTTGACGGCAGCAGCCCTGGTGTTAATTCCCTTCGCCCAAAGCTACAGTGCTCTGGCAATCCTTTCGGCGGTTTTAGGGTTCCTGGCGGGAAACTGGTCGATTTTCCCCTATATCACAACCCAGACGGTGGGAATCGAGAAACTGACCCATGCCTATGGCATATTGATGTTTTTTGCTGGACTTGGAAACAGCCTGGGACCCCCAATTGTAGGTAAGTCGGCATTTCAGCCAAATACCATTCCTTCTGTTCAAAAAAGCCCTCCATCTACAGAACCTGTTAGTGGAGATGTAGCATTGTTGTTAGTTGCGAAGTCGTATCCGACCCATCGCGAACCCATGGACAACGTTCCTCCAGGCCTTCCTGTCCTCTACCATCTTCTGGAGTCCATTTAAGCTCACGCCTACTGCTTCAGTGACTCCATCCAGCCACCTCATTCTCTGTCGTCCCCTTCTTTATTGCCCTCAATCTTTCCCAGCATTAGGCTCTTCTCCAGTGAGTCCTTCCTTCTCATTAAGTGGCCAAAGTACTTGATTTTCAACTTCAGGATCTGGCCTTCTAAAGAGCAGTCGGGGTTGATCTCCTCTAGGACTGATCGGTTTGATCACCTTGCAGTCCAGGGGACTCGCAGGAGTCTTCTCCAGCACCATAGTTCAAAGGCCTCAATTCGTTGGTGCTCAGCCTTTCTTATGGTCCAACTTTCACAGCCATACATTGGAACTGGGAAAACCATGGCCTTGACTGTACGCACTTTTATTGGCAGGGTGATGTCTCTGCTTTTTAGTATGCTGAGATGTAGCTTTACTCAGTTACAATGGACAAGTGCAGCACTATATTCTCAGTATCCTTAAAAACTCATATCCTGGTTGGTGCTCCATACAGTCCTATAAATCCTTTCTACCTCTATGATACAACAGCCGCCAGGAGCGGAGCCATCGGCTGCCATTGTGGCGTGTCGATGGTTTGGGTTCAAAGCACTGGTATCCTTGACTGGCAGTTTCCTGACCAATCACGCTCTGGTGTGACATTTTTATGGAAGAGGAAACTTCCTTTGATGCCATGGTGTGAGACAAGAAGGCTTGGATCTGTTTTTTGGCATCTCTTTCTGTTCTCTTTTAGGTTGGTTTTATGACTGGACTGCTTCTTACGACGTGGCCTTCTACTTCAGTGGCCTGTGTGTGCTCTTCGGAGGGCTCCTCCTCCTGGTGGCCGTACTGCCTTGTTGGCGTGGAACAAAACCTACCATCGGCCCAAACCCCAAACACTTATTCCTCCACAGCTGCCTCCGGAGCGTCAATGACCGTATGGAATAGTTGCTGCTGTTTTGTTACTGATACTTTTAGTATACTTTTTGCATCTATTTATAAAGGTTTTTAAGACACTTTTGATACCTCTTCGAAACACTTGGACCCGTGAGCCAAAACATCAAGTCCTGGCCACTGCAGCTAAGTTCCAACAGCACAATGGGGCCTTCTGTTTTGCCGTTGCCCATAATCGACAAAATGCTGCTTGCGCCGGATTGCAACTGACTAAGAGTCTTTTAAGATGCAGTGAAGCTCCACTCTTGAGGTGGAGCTTCTCTTGACGAGCTTCCCACTCCCCATTCCTGAGTGTGCAAGCCCTGGCAAGTGTGCAAAGTGTTGGATCTAGAACCAGCATATTCAGTTTCCTGAACGAGGCTCCTCCTCTCACCCACGTTGTATTGTACCTACAGTTTTGCTAAGTATTTTCTGGTGCAACCAATGTATTTTATACACATTTTCATGTAATCCTTGTACTTCATTTCAGCCAGGTTGGCACAGTACTTGCTTCCCTCTTCAGGAATCTTAATGCTGTTTGGCTGGGAGAGGCTACGTCCCTCTGTGTGTCATGAAAGTAATTGAAGAACCTGTTTTCTCTGAGGGATCTTGTGGGTTGCCAAAAGATCCCGTGATCTATGACATAAACAGCACAACAAGAATGTAGCATTTAATACCAAGGGAGATGTTGGATGGCAAAAAAAAAAAAGTTACTGCATATTCTATCAGGAGCTGTTACAAATTATTCAACTGAATTCTATAAAAACCAAGGAATAAATACAATTTATTAAAGAAACCACAAACCATAGAACTGAAACGTTGGTTTTATTTATTTTACAAATTCGAGGCAAGATTGCAATGTGGTGAAACTTCTATTTAGAACATTTAAGCTCTTTAATCCATTACATTAGAAAAAAAAACATCTCTAAAGTTTCCAAAGAACTTTGGAATTTTCCTTGAAATATGAAAGATGGACTCAGTTTAAATCTGACCGGGTTGTTCTAAAATGGCTCATTATTTCGTTTAACAGTATATAGGCTTCCTAGAGGAAAAAAAATGGGATACCAGGCAGATAAATCAATGAGCTGGCTGAGGAAGGAGCAGTATATACAAATCCGGGATGGCAGTCTTGCCTTGAGCAGTGAGTTGGACTAGAACAGGGGTAGGCAACCTCGGCTCTTTTATGACTCGTGGACTTCAACTCCCAGAATTCCTGAGCCAGCCATGCTGAGGGGAAAGGGAGAGGTTCCCAAGCTGAGCCATGCTGGCTCAGGAATTCTGGGAGTTGAAGTCCACAAGTCATGAATAGGCCCTAGTTCCCCCATGCTGGCTGAGGAATTCTGGGAGTTGAAGTCCATGAGTCATGAAGGGGCCAAAGTTTCCCTCATGCTGGCTCAGGAATTCTGGGAGTTGAAGTCCACCAGTCATAAAAGAGCCAAGGTTGTCTACCCCAGGACTAGAAGACCTCCAAGGTCCCAGCCCTGGGATTCTATGATTCTTTATGAATAGCAGTAGGGTTGCTGGTGGGAGGCATTTAGCTATTGAATCCTCTGGAGAAATAAATGAGAAATAAATAAACTTTTGTTGCAAGTTCATGTAGCTTACTCAGTGGCATTTATTGATCACGTTCATTGTTGTCGATTATGATTGTAAGGATAACGTGGATATGGATAGGTGTGTAAAAGAAAAGCCATTTGATAAGGAAGAGGTTTATTTTTTTTAGGCAAGGAGCATATAATAGTCAGGAGAGCAATTATGAAGTCTATGGGCCAGATTTCTCCACTGTGCATCACACAGAAGAATTTTTACAGGACACCTTGCTTGTCTCTGGCCCCGTTCCAGCTGTGCATTCATGTAAGTCGAAATCATTTGAGCCCTGTTAAAAAGCAACAAAGGGCACTTTCAGTCGCATTTACACTAGTGGCCAAAATTGTGGAAACCTTTTGGGAAAAGTGTACAGTAGAAATGCCACCTTCGGTTAAGTTTCCACCATTTTTTCTTCTAATCTCTTTATAACTGTAGCCTTGTTCACTTAATAAATACTATTTTACATCGCTTTCTGGGCAACCAGTCAACTCTTTGCACCACTCCTTTAATTTTATTACGTTTTGCAAGCTCGCTCAATGAAAGAACCCCAAAAAAACCCCAACCAACTTGATAGCGATCACATAACACACTGACAAATGTCCTCCTCTCAGCTTCAATACATGACATCAATCACTGAATCCTACTGTGATCTGATTGGCTGATTGCCAAAACAAGATGACACCCGATTGGCTCTCTAAACACTCACGCTTATTGGCTACCATCAGATGAAGGAAAGCTATCTGAGATCAACCTAAGCAAGTGGTGCTTCCTTTTTCTGGTTATTTGGCTATAACCTTTCACAGAATACAGTACAGATAATTGAACAAACTATGTTGCATTACATTCTTGACTAAATTATCTTTCCATTGATATATAATTTTAGGGTACTACTCCAAATAAAAGTGGTGTTATTAACCATCAAACCTCAAAAATACACTTTTCCCAAAAGGTTTCCACAATTTTGGCCACTACTGTAGGTCTTTGGCTCCTCTCTCCCTGCAGAGCAGCCAATGATCACCTCTGATTTGCGATCGTGTCTGGTTCTACAGACCTTGAAATGCTGAGAACCTCATTGTGGCAGCTCTTGGGGTGAGGGAGGTCCTCTCCATGGAGTATCACACCACCCGGACAATTGGCCGAGCTTCAGACACAAAGATCGATTTGCTCCCGTGTCAGATACTTCAGGTCTGAGTCTGCAATCAGCTCCCTGAACTGCCAGCATGAGAGTGGGACAAGCCAGGAGCTGACATGGAACTGGCGTGTGGGATGTGTTCAGTTTGTGTGATAGCAGGGGAGGCTCCTCTCTCTCCCATCTATCAAGAGCTGTGCAATTAACACCTGTTGCCCACCGAGTGCTCTGCTCTCACAGAGGCTTCCTTTATCCGCACATAATGCCTAATAACCAAAATGTAGCCTGTGGTTATGTTACAATTGGTCAGAGAGACAAGCATCCCTCTCCAAAGATGCACGCACAACGCACACAAACAACTGGCAGAGGTTAAATCAGTGATGGCGAACCTTTTACAGACCGAGTGCCCAAAAACTGGCCCTGCCCCCACCCTGCCTACCCACAGGGCCACTCATCGCCTCCAGGCCCCGCCACAGATCGCCCAGGCAGCCCAGCAGCGCCATGGTGGCCACGCCCTCTGCCTGCACCCCACAGCATCAACTGTGCACGATGGGGCATGAGGGCAGAGTCTTGTCTATGCTGCCTGGCTGCCATGTCCTTGGTTGCACTGCTCCACGTGGGCCACACTTGGGGGCGACTCTCCTCCAGGGGGGCTGCTGGTGAGGGGATCATGGCGGGAGGCAAGACTGGGGCAACGGTGCGCGTGCCCACAGAGAGGGCTTTGAGTGCCGCCTCTGGCACCCGTGCCATAGGTTCGCCACCACTGGGTTAAATCATACCACAATGGCCTCCAAATTTGACTTTTTTGGACCGTACACCTGATGATGGCTTAGCGTTCCCCAAACTGAAATTCTTGCTAGGTCTTGGGGGCCCCAACAGTTCCCTTTCCCTAACAAACTACAGATCTAAAAAGTTACATTGCTCCTTCACAGAGTGAAGACTCCGGAAAGGGCCCCACCGTTGAGTTAGTTCTGCCTTCCTTCTGCACCAGGGCTCCACTTTGCCACTCCACTTAATCCTGTCAGTGCCTACTCGGTGTCCTGCCTGCCCAGAGAGCACATTACCGGAAGTCATTGCTTCCTGGTGTGTATGTGTATGCGAGATGCCATGGTAACATCCTTAGCTTTGTCATTCCCAGGGAGTTTTTGTCCAAGCATTCAGTAAGTACGGAGAGTATCCTAGGCATACGTAAATCTGGTGCTACTAAGGACTGCCTTTGTTTGTTTACTTTAGCACCTGCCAAGTCCACCTGGAAGGATGAATTTCTACAAAGCCCCAGCCCTGCTGAATTGCTGACGGACAGAGAGCACCATGTTTGGACCCTGGGCCTTCTCTCCTAAGAGAACGTCTGGTTCAGGCATAACATGGGGACCGGGGCCTCCATTTCCCTCTGTGTAAGTGCAGTGTAACTCCTTGGGCCTAACTTGAGGGTTTGCAAAAGCACCTTCTGAGTAGTTAAGGGCAGAAGGCTGCTGCTAATGGACTGATTTATTTCAAGAAGACTCAGGGTTGGTTTTGTCCGTCCTCCTCGGTTACTACAGTATCTGTAAATGTTCTCCCTTGTCAATATTTTGTCTTTCATGCGTTGGTTTTAAGAATGTTTACTTAGGAATATGATTTATTTATATGGGTCTGGTTTATTTCAAATAACTACTAAAAGGCAATGAGAGTTACCTTAGTGCATTATAATAATCTGTATTGCTTTTTTCGTGCTGCAGCGAGTGGAGCTCATATTTATGATCAAAATCTAACGTTAAGTTAATGATGATGAACGTTTCAGCTGCGTTTTCTTTTTTCTTTTTAATATTTGAGAGTTATCGCATTACAGTACAGCCTTGTTCTACTTGGACTCCCTTGGAAATTCACGTGACAGCTGTTCGACTGAGATTTGACCTTAAACCCTGGAATTGTCCCTTGAATGTGACAGCCAGTTTTTATTTTGCTATCTCAGCCTTGAGAGGAGAATATACTGGGTTGGGTCCAGATGCTCTGTTTCATGCAGAAAAGCAATTTCTGTTCACAGAAGGATGCTTTCCAAGCCTGAAAAACAATTAAATGAATGGAATTAAACATTTGGATTCACTTCAGTTTAATATTGCTCATCAAAGCAATATTGACTCCAAAACAGAATCATGTCCATAATAACAGATATAAAATATACAAGCTTTCTTTTCAATAACTTGGTGCTCATGAGAGAATTAGAGAGGCAACATGGAGGAGTGGTAAAAGTGTTGGACTTGGAATGAGGACACCCAGGTTCTAGGTTCTCCTCAGCCATGGAGACCCTATACCAGGGGTAGGCAACCTTGGCTCTTTTATGACTCGTGGACTTCAACTCCCAGAATTCCTGAGCCAGCCAGGCTGGCTCAGGAATTCTGGGAGTTGAAGTCCACGAGTCATAAAAGAGCCAAGGTTGCCTACCCCTGCCCTATACCATTCCAGACAAATGGCTGTCCAGTCTCTTCTTAAAAGCCTCAACCTGGAATTAAGGAGATACTTCCTCACAGTGAGGACAATTAACCAGTGGAACGGCTTGCCTCCTGAAGTTGTGGTTGCTTCATCACTGGAGGTTTTTAAGAAGAGACTGGACAGCTATTTGTCTGGAATGGTATAGTGCAGTGATGGCGAACCTTTTAGAGATTGAGTGCCCAAATTGCAACCCCAAACCCATTTATGCATCGTCAAGTGCCGGGTGGGCGTGGCCCATTGGCTGGGTGTGGCCCATTGGCTGGCTGTGGCCCATTGGGTGGGCGTGGCTGCGATGGTAACAGCAGACTGGGTGGGACTAAAAAGTTCAATCAATCAATTCCAACTTTGCAAGACCTTTTTTTTCCCCGTGAGAAGTTGAAATTGATTGAACTTTTTTTTTTTTGCACACGGCGGCGGAGGCCTAAAGCGAAAAAGTTTTATTAAACCCAGCTGAATGCCTAGGACTGGGGCGACGGCACGCGTGCCCACAGAGAGGGCTCTGAATGCCGCCTCTGGCACCCATGCCATAGGTTCGGCACCACTGGTATAGTGTCTCCTGCTTGAGCAAGGTTGGACTAGACCAGGGGTAGGCAACCTTGGCTCTTTTATGACTCGTGGACTTCAACTCCCAGAATTCCTGAGCCAGCCAGTTGAAGTCCACAAGTCATAAAGTGCCCAAGGTTGGGGACCCCTGGCCTAGACCAGGTGTAGGCAACCTTGGCTCTTTTATGACTCGTGGACTTCAACTCCCAGAATTCCTGAGCCAGCATGGCTCAGCTTGGAAACTTCTCCCTTTCCCCTCAGCATGGCTGGCTCGGGAATTCTGGGAGTTGAAGTCCACGAGTCATAAAAGAGCCAAGGTTGCCTACCCCTGGACTAGAAGATCCCTTCCAACTCAGTTATTCTGATGTCACCAGATGTACGGTACCCTAACTTTCTCACTAACATTAAAATATTAATTGATGCTGGACAAACCCTTAAAAATCCTGGAGACTTAGTGAAATAACTGCAACTGGAGCAAGGCAAATATTGTTTTGTCCTCAAAAGGGGTGAACGGGAAAGAGGTGTCAAGAAGCTGGGAAGCTTTGCCAACATGAATGATGAATAAACTAAGCAACCAACTGCAAAGCAATAAATTTGGCATCAGCAACAATGGCAGATCTTAAAAAGATGGATGCAACAAGGTCGCATGAACCAAAAAGTGTCAAAATAATTGTTTCCAGAAAAGAACCTATTTGTTTTTTTGTTTTTTTTTAACTTGGGAGCTCTGTTTAGTCAATTGTGGTAATCCTGTAGATGTAATATATCTTGTTTTCAAGAAACACTTAGGAAAGGCTGATTTAATCCCATCCTAAATGTATGCTTGATTAAGTACAAGACTTTCTCTGTTATAATTAACAAGTTTGCATGTGGACCACAATCATACATTGTATGTGTACAAATCAAGCAAGAAGGCAGATAAATGTAATACAAGGCATACAGGAGATATGTTAATTATCCGCATTTTACACCAAGTATAGGGTGCAGGAATAAATATAGTAAAACTGTAGGTTTTTATAAACTTGAACCTTCTTATGCAGTAAGGTTATTTCATTTAAAATATTAATTGGCTGGAGGAAGGTCAGGTTACAAGGCATACAACATCTTTGCCCAAGTTAGTGGAACCAGCAAATATCCCCCCCTTCAATTATTTTCTGTTAATGTTGCGTGCTACATCAATCCATGGCCAACAATTTTCAAGGCTCATAACTCAGTTCCATATCCCTGTTGTTATAACCTTGATATTTTATAATTTTTAAAAAATCTATGATGCAAGGGCAAACAGCACCATTATTTCTCTTTGCAGCAATCATTGTCATCTGTAAAAGTGAAGCAAGGTGGAAATAAAGTTGGACCGGAACCTCAAAGAATTTTTGGTTCTCCCCTTGATATAGTCGCCAAGGATACGACACACCGGCCTGTTCCTTTAGTTGTCCAACACACAGTGGAATATTTAGAAGAGTTTGGTAAGTTCGTGATTCCACTTGGTCGTGACCATTTTTTTTTCCTTTCGGAAGGAAATCCTCAACACAACAAAGTGTGCTTGCACTTGGTCAGCAAATGGCAGGTACTTTGGGGATTAATATCATTGGTGATGGTGTCCCTTCAATGTCACTGATGACAGGTGGCCTCTGGACATCTCTTCTTCTGCAATGACTGTCCATAGACAGTTCTGAGTTCTCAGGTAAATCCCAACCTTATCCAGATCCCAAATCAAGCAGAATCCACAAATTCAAGGATCTGCTCTAATAATCAAATGTGGATTATTATAATCTGGTAGTTCTCCTCCCAAGGGCATTTCTGGATGGAGAAGAAAACTGCTCCTCGTATGAAAACCTCAGTGATGGATCTGCCATAACTTAAACCTCTAAACAGAAACAATTCTTGGCTCCGTTGGTTGAGAAAGATATAGTTTTATTACATGTCAAGTGTATTGCAGCAATGCAAAACCAGAATTGAGAATCGCGTGCCAAAATCTTGAAGTTCAACTTTCCCTCCCTTAGCTGGTTCTCACTGCCCACTTCCAGGTGACCAATCAGGTTGAGGCAAGATAATAGTAATAGTAATAGTAATAGTAATAGTAATAGTAATAGTAATAGTAATAGTAATAGTAATAGTAATAGTAATAGTAATAGTAATAGTAATAGTAATAATAATAATAATAATAATAATAATAATAATAATAATAAAGAACTCGAGAAGATAGCAAAATACAAAGACCTACAAATAGAAATAGAAAGACTGTGGCAAAAGCAAGCAAGGGTAGTACCAATAGTAATAGGCGGCTTGGGTGCAATCCCAAAACAACTGGAGCACCACTTGAACACCATTGGCATTGATAAATTCACTATTAGTCAATTGCAAAAGGCAGCCTTACTAGGAACTGCTTCCATCCTGCGACGATCTCTGTAATACCATCAAACATCCACATCTGCCTATCCCAGGTCCTTGGTAAGGACTCGATAGGTAGACAAAATGCCAAATCCAGTCTGAACATCTGGCTGACTGTGTGATGATCAATAATAATAATAATAATAATAATAATAATAATAATAATAATAACAAGAAGAAGAAGAAGAAGAAGAAGAAGAAGAAGAAGAAGAAAGAAGAAGAAGAAGAAGAAGAAGAAGAAGAAGAAGAAGAAGAAGAAGAAGAAGAAGAAGAAGAAGAAGAAGAAGAAGAAGAAGAAGAAGAAGAAGAAGAAGAAGAAGTTGGAAGGGACCTTGGAGGTCATCTAGTCCAACCGCCTGTTCAGGCAGGAAACCCTATACCATTTCAGACAAATGGCTGTCCAGTCTCTTCTTAAAAACTTCCAGTGTTTTTATAATGGCCAGTCCACTGGTAGTTTGGTGTGCAGTTCCCTCCTTCTTCCAGCTGGGTGACCTTGAGGCAGCATTTTAAAGAGATCCAGCACTTACTTTCATTTTCCCAAGCATTCCCCCCTTCATTCCCTCTCCCCACAGTTCATGGCAGTCTGTCACCACATAGCAGCGAAGCACAAGCAGCATAAGGTGGTGGCTGAATTCAGTCTACTTTAGAAGCACAGGGCCAGCAACATAGCAATAGCAATACCAATAGCACTTAGACTTATATACCGCTTCACAGTGCTTTACAACCCTCTCTAAGCAGTTTACAGAGTCAGCTTATCGCCCCCAACAATCTGGGTCCTGATTTTACCCACTTCGGAAGGATGGAAGGCTGAGTCAACCTTGAACTGGTGCGAATCGAACTGCTGGCAGTCGGCAGAATTAGCCTGCAATACTGCATTCTAACCCCTCTGCCACCACGGCCGGTAGCTTTTTCCTCTAACTGAACAGACGACCCGGTTAGTTAGACAAAGTAAATTCAGGCTGGTTGGCATTTTCCCAACCATTCTGGAGGTACAGGAAATTCCCCTTTGAATGATGATGCATTTGCTGAAGTTGGCACCCAATTGATCCTGGCAAGGGCAAAGCCTCCACCTTAGCTCTAATCCCCAGTCCCCCCTTGACTCATCACTTTTGCATAACTCTATCAAGATCTACCAGATCAAGGGTGGAAGAAGGAAACAGCATCATCTGGAGGAAAAAGTCGTACGATCCAGAAGTAGATGATATGCAAATCTATTAAGCATTATATTTTGAGTTGGGTGCTTGCCAGTTTCAGACTTATTAGCTGGTTTTTGTAGTGATATTCCAGTGGAAAGATCTACTTTGCATTCTATCCTGTGGGGTTTTTTTCTTTGCAACATGAAAGAGGTATAAAAGTAGGTCCTCTAAGAGGTTTTTTTTTTTTGTCTGTCGCCATGATAATATAAATAATGCCTACTTACTGCAGGTAATCTTATGTACCTTTATCCGAAATAGAAGCTGAATAAAATTTGGTTTTGTACGTGCAATGACAAATGAAGACCCAGTGGCCAAATGCCATTAACTACTCTATTTAGAAGGAGGAAGAAAGCAACACTGTATAGCATTTCACTGTCTCGTGCAAGACATTTGTAGAAGGAAATGTTTCCAATGAACCTTTCAAAATCTTATGTACCTTCATCCAAAATAGATGTTGAGATGTTGAGACTCTAGAAAGAGTACAGAGAAGAGCAACAAAGATGATCAGGGGACTGGAGGCCAAAGCATATAAGGAAAGGCTGCTGGAATTGGGTATGTCTAGTTTAACGAAGAGAAGGACGAAGGGGGACATGATAGCAGTCTTCCAATCTCTCAGGGGCTGTCCCAAAGAAGAGGGAGTCAAGCTATTCTCCAAAGCGCCTGAAGGCAGGACAAGAAGCTACGGATGGAAACTAATCAAGGAGAGAAGCAACCTAGAACTAAGGAGAAACTTCCTGACAGTTAGAACAATTAACCAGTGGAACAACCTGCCTCCAGAAGCGGTGAATGCTCCAACACTGGGGGTTTTTAAGAAGAGACTGGACAGCCATTTGTCTGAAATGGTATAGGGTTGGACCTGAGCAGGGGGTTGGACTAGATGACCTCCAAGGTCCCTTCCAACTTTATTATTATTATTATTATTATTATTATTATTATTATTATTATTATTATTATTATTATTATTATTATTATTATTATTATTATTATTATTATTATTATTATTATTATTATTATTATTATTATAGAAGGAAGAAGCTTTTAAAAAAAATCAGAATCAGCAGGAAGAAGGTCTCCTTTCTTCCCTTTAATATAATTATGTTTTTTTAAATAATTTTATGAATTTGGGGTTCCTCCAAACCTACTCGTCTCTTCTATTTGTTCGTGGGTCCTCTTGGAACTCTATAAGAATGCCTTCACTATTAATAATATACAGGATGTTGCGTGTTCTCCTAGGGCTAAATCACAAAGGCCTCTTTCGGATCAGTGGATCAGCAGCCAAAATCAGGGCGCTTAGATTAAAGTATGATCAAGGAGAAGAAGTTGACCTTGTTAAGGAAGGAGATATCAACTCTGTTGCCAGCATCCTTAAACTGTTCCTGAATCAGCTGCCAACTGCTGTTTTCCCGGAGGAACTGTGCACAGATATTTGGGCCATTTTCGAAGGTACAGCAAGTGCATGAGACACCTTTTCTTCTTATTTTGATGCAAGGAAGTATGATGTCTCCTCCTCCTCATTATTAAATTTCCACCACAGTTAAATCTGGTGTTTTATGAGCCAACACTACCGTTTGTATTTGGGAATCTCATTTTTTGTTGTTGTTAGTTATGAAGTTGTGTCCGACCCATCGCGACCCCATGGGCAATGTTCCTCCAGGCCTTCCTGTCCTCTACCATCTTCTGGAGTCCATTTAAGCTCACGCCTACTGCTTCAGTGACTCCATCCAGCCACCTCATTCTCTGTCGTCGCTTTATTCTCTTGCCCTCTTGCTAGTGCTACTGACCAGTGAGAAGAACAGATACATTATTATTTGTGGGATTTGAGATAGTAAGCAGGAGGCCCACATCAATATAACTTTAACTCAAGGCATTAGCTTGGCATGAATTGAGCTGAAGGTCCCAGAAACAGTGGGAGGTTCAATTTTTGTCTGAACCTTCAGCTCAGTTCATGTCAATCTACTGTAGTTCTATTGTTGTTGTTAATTGCGAAGTCGTGTCTGACCCAGCATGACCCCATGGACAACGTTCCTCCAGGCCTTCCTGTCCTCTACCATCTTCTGGAGTCCATTTAAGCTCACCTACTGCTTCAGTGACTCCATCCAGCCACCTCATTCTCTGTCGTCCCCTTCTTCTCTTGCCCTCAATCTTTCCCAGCATTAGGCTCTTCCCCAGTGAGTCCTTCCTTCTCATGAGGTGGCCAAAGTACTTGAGTTTCCACTTCAGGATCTGGCCTTCTAAAGAACAGTCAGGGTTGATCTCCTCTAGGACTGACCGGTTGGATCGCCGTGCAGTCCAGGGGACTCGCAGGAGTCTTCTCCAGCACCATAGTTCAAAGGCCTCCATTCTTTGGCGCTCAGCCTTTCTTATGGTCTCATATAATCTCATATTATTATTATTATTATTATTATTAATAATAATAATAATAATAATAATAATAATAATAATAATAATAATTTCATAACAAAAGTGTTATTCTGGGCCACGAACAAGAATTTAAACTCATGCCCATTTCTGCACACTAGCTTATTGTTACATGCATCTAACATTTACTTAAACTCCAATATTGAACCCCTTTTCCCTCATTTATAATAATAATAATAAAGTTGGAAGGGACCTTGGAGGTCATCTAGTCCAAAACCCTGCTTAGGCAGGAAACCCTATGATACCATTTCAGACAAATGGCTGTCCAGTCTCTTCTTGAAAACTTCCAGTGTTGGAGCATTCACCGCTTCTGGAGGCAGGTTGTTCCACTGGTTAATTGTTCTCATTGTCAGGAAGTTTCTCCTTAGTTCTAGGTTGCTTCTCTCCTTGATTAGTTTCCATCCGTTGCTTCTTGTCCTGCCTTCAGGGGCCTTGGAAAATAGCTTCTCCTATCTTGTCTTTTTTAACCCCCATTCACTTCCTTTAGCCTTGCACAGTCTAATAGAGCAGCAGGGCTCTCTAAACATGGACCTTGGTCAACAATTCCCCAATGATCTCTCTCTAAAGGCATCTGCACGGAGTGAAATCTACATCCTTCCCTTGAAGGGAGGCCACAAATGTACTCAGGNGAGCCCCATGTAGAGAGCATTACAGTAGTCCAGGCGGGAGGTGACAAGTGCGTGAGTGACCGTGCGTAGGGCGTCCCGGTCCAGAAAAGGCCGCAACTGGTGAATCAGGCGAACCTGATAAAACGCCCCCCTGGTCACGGCCGACAACTGGTCTTCCAGCATCAGCCGCGAATCCAGGAGGACACCCAAGTTGCGTACCTTCATCCGAAATAGAAGCTGAATAAAAATTTGGTTTTGTACGTGCAATGACAAATGAAGATACAGTGGCCAAATACCATTAACTACTCTATTTAGTTTTGATTTGATCACAGCATTATCTAGAAGGAGGAGGAAGAAAACAACACTGTATAGCATTTCACTGTCTCGTGCAAGACATTTGTAGAAGGAAATGTTTCCAATGAACCTTTCAAAATCTTATGTACCTTCATCCAAAATAGATGTTGAGATGTTGAGACTCTAGAAAGAGTACAGAGAAGAGCAACAAAGATGATTAGGGGACTGGAGGCCAAAGCATATAAGGAAAGGCTGCTGGAATTGGGTATGTCTAGTTTAACGAAGAGAAGGACGAGGGGGGGGCATGATAGCAGTCTTCCAATCTCTCAGGGGCTGCCCCAAAGAAGAGGGAGTCAAGCTATTCTCCAAAGTGCCTGAAGGCAGGACAAGAAGCTACGGATGGAAACTAATCAAGGAGAGAAGCAACCTAGAACTAAGGAGAAACTTCCTGACAGAACAATTAACCAGTGGAACAACCTGCCTCCAGAAGCGGTGAATGCTCCAACACTGGAAGTTTTTAAGAAAAGACTGGACAGCCATTTGTCTGAAATGGTATAGGGTTGGACCTGAGCAGGGGGTTGGACTAGATGACCTCCCAGGTCTCTTCCAACATCATTATTATTATTATTATTATTATTATTATTATTATTATTATTATTATTATTATTATTATTATTATTATTATTATGGAAGGAAGAAGCTTTTAAAAAAAATCAGAATCAGCAGGAAGAAGGTCTCCTTTCTTCCCTTTAATATAATTATGTTTTTTTAAATAATTTTATGAATTTGGGGGTTCCTCCAAACCTACTCGTCTCTTCTATTTGTTCGTGGGTCCTCTTGGAACTCTATAAGAATGCCTTCACTATTAATAATATACAGGATGTTGCGTGTTCTCCTAGGGCTAAATCACAAAGGCCTCTTTCGGATCAGTGGATCAGCAGCCAAAATCAGGGCACTTAGATTAAAGTATGATCAAGGAGAAGAAGTTGACCTTGTTATGGAAGGAGATATCAACTCTGTTGCCAGCATCCTTAAACTGTTCCTGAATCAGCTGCCAACCGCTGTTTTCCCGGAGGAACTGTGCACAGATATTTGGGCCATTTTCGAAGGTACAGCAAGTGCATGAGACACCTTTTCTTCTTATTTTGATGCAAGGAAGTATGATGTCTCCTCCTCCTCATTATTAAATTTCCACCACAGTTAAATCTGGTGTTTTATGAGCCAACACTACCGTTTGTATTTGGGAATCTCATTTTTTGTTGTTGTTAGTTATGAAGTTGTGTCCGACCCATCGCGACCCCATGGGCAACGTTCCTCCAGGCCTTCCTGTCCTCTAACATCTTCTGGAGTCCATTTAAGCTCACGCCTACTGCTTCAGTGACTCCATCCAGCCACCTCATTCTCTGTCGTCGCCTTATTCTCTTGCCCTCTTGCTAGTGCTACTGACCAGTGAGAAGAACAGATACATTATTATTTGTGGGATTTGAGATAGTAAGCAGGAGGCCCACATCAATATAACTTTAACTCAAGGCATTAGCTTGGCATGAATTGAGCTGAAGGTCCCAGAAACAGTGGGAGGTTCAATTTTTGTCTGAACCTTCAGCTCAGTTCATGTCAATCTACTGTAGTTCTATTGTTGTTGTTAATTGCGAAGTCGTGTCTGGCCCAGCATGACCCCATGGACAACGTTCCTCCAGGCCTTCCTGTCTTCTACCATCTTCTGGAGTCCATTTAAGCTCACCTACTGCTTCAGTGACTCCATCCAGCCACCTCATTCTCTGTCGTCCCCTTCTTCTCTTGCCCTCAATCTTTCCCAGCATTAGGCTCTTCCCCAGTGAGTCCTTCCTTCTCATTAGGTGGCCAAAGTACTTGAGTTTCCACTTCAGGATCTGGCCTTCTAAAGAACAGTCAGGGTTGATCTCCTCTAGGACTGACCGGTTGGATCGCCTTGCAGTCCAGGGGACTCGCAGGAGTCTTCTCCAGCACCATAGTTCAAAGGCCTCCATTCTTTGGCGCTCAGCCTTTCTTATGGTCTCATATAATCTCATATTATTATTATTATTATTATTAATAATAATAATAATAATAATAATAATAATAATAATTTCATAACAAAAGTGTTATTCTGGGCCACGAACAAGAATTTAAACTCATGCCCATTTCTGCACACTAGCTTATTGTTACATGCATCTAACATTTACTTAAACTCCAATATTGAACCCCTTTTCCCTCGTTTATAATAATAATAGTAAAGTTGGAAGGGACCTTGGAGGTCATCTAGTCCAACCCCCTGCTTAGGCAGGAAACCCTATGATACCATTTCAGACAAATGGCTGTCCAGTCTCTTCTTGAAAACTTCCAGTGTTGGAGCATTCACCGCTTCTGGAGGCAGGTTGTTCCACTGGTTAATTGTTCTCATTGTCAGGAAGTTTCTCCTTAGTTCTAGGTTGCTTCTCTCCTTGGTTAGTTTCCATCCGTTGCTTCTTGTCCTGCCTTCAGGCGCCTTGGAAAATAGCTTCTCCTATCTTGTCTTTTTTAACCCCCATTCACTTCCTTTAGCCTTGCACAGTCTAATAGAGCAGCAGGGCTCTCTAAACATGGACCTTGGTCAACAATTCCCCAATGATCTCTCTCTAAAGGCATCTGCACGGAGTGAAATCTACATCCTTCCCTTGAAGGGAGGCCACAAATGTACTCAGGAGTCCTTCGTGCAATTCTTTGTTTAGGACGTGACAGCTGCCATCTCTGGGGAAGCCCAAGGCTTTGAGCACAGGCCTTGAGAGTCAACAGTTAGGAAATACCGAACAAATTCTAATCTTTGATGCTAATCTTTCTCTGTTAATCATTACTGTCCCATCTTTCACAGCGAACAAAAACTGCACCACAGAGCAAACGAGATGTCTAAAAAGGCTATTAAGTCGCCTGCCGGAAGCCCACAGTTGCCTTGCTTGTTTCCTCGTTAGATTTCTCGCCAAGGTGGCTGAAAACAGTGATGTGAATCAGATGACCCTGGAGAACCTGGCCATTGTTTTTGGCCCCACATTATTCCGGTAGGACATTCTTTCCATATCTCCACGTTGCTCAAACTATCCCGAGTTGCCGTCTAATTCACCTTGAATAGTCTAATCATCTAATTATCCTTCCTGAACGAAACTGGAGGTGTTACAGGATCGCTTGATTAGAACGAGTGATAATTTAATGTTTGGCTCTGGAATCTGCTGGGCTGCATTAACAGAGGGATAGAATCTAGATCACGTGAAGTATTCATACCACTTTACAATGCCTTGGTAAGGCCACACTTGGTATACTGCATGCAGTTTTGGTCACCACGATGTAAAAAAGATGCTGAGACTCTAGAAAGAGTGCAGAGAAGAGCAACAAAGATGATTAGGGGACATATAAGGAACGGCTGCTGGAACTGGGTATGTCTAGTTTAATGAAGAGAAGGACGAGGTGGGACATGATAGCAGTGTTCCAATATCTCAGGGGCTGCCCCAAAGAAGAGGGAGTCAAGCTATTCTCCAAAGCACCTGAAGGCAGGACAAGAAGCAACGGGTGGAAACTAACCAAAGAGAGAAGCAACCTAGAACTAAGGAGAAACTTCCTGACAGTGAGAACAATTGACCAGTGGAACAACCTGCCTCCAGAAGCGGTAAATGCTCCAACACTGGAAGTTTTTAAGAAGAGACTGGACAGCCATTTGTCTGAAATGGTATAGGGTTTCCTGCCTGAGCAGGGGGTTGGAGTAGATGACCTCCAAGGTCCCTTCCAACTTTACTACTATTGCTATTACTATCCTCCTTGTCCTCCTCCTCCTTACTACTGCTATAAGTATCATTTTGGTTTGTATTTTCTAGAATTCCGTGCAGCCCTTTGGCATACAAAAAGCAAACCCTTTGTAATGCCGTGCTCCTGCATATGCTTCAGCGCCACGAGGTCCTCTTTCTGGAGAGCTCCAGCAAATATTTCTCCCCAATGGAAGAGCAGTCCCAGGTAAGAGCCTCTCAGGAAGATCAGAATAACCAAATAACAGAGTTTTGGAAGGGACCTTGGAGGTCTTCTAGTCCAATTCCCTGCTCAAGCAGGAGACCCTACACCAGGGGTAGGCAATCTTGGCCCCTTCATGACTTGTGGACTTCAACTCCCAGAATTCCTCAGCCAGCATAGGGGAACTATGGCCCCTTCATGACTGGTGGACTTCAACTCCCAGAATTCCTGAGCCAGCATGGCTCAGCTTGGAATCCTCTCCTTTTCCCCTCAGCATAGCTGGCTCAGGAATTCTGGGAGTTGAAGTCCAGGAGTCACAAAAGAGCCAAGGTTGCCTACCCCTGCCCTATACCATTTCAAACAAATGGTTGTCCAGTCTCTTGAAATCCTCCAGTGTTGGAGCACCCACTGTTGAACCAGTTAAATGGATTAAAATGTTTTACAGATGGCATATGACACCAGTGAGATTAGCAAAAATGTTTTAAAATACTTCAAATAACTGTTGGAAATGCAAACAAAGACCAGGTATTTATTATCATCATATCTGGTGGACATGCCCTAAAGCAAAAAGATTCGGGGTTAAAATACATTTATGGTTGGAGGAAATGACTAAAAAACAAATAGACTTTAAACCAGAATTGTTTTTGTTAGGAATAATAGGGAGCTAATTATGAGAAAGACTGCAGATATTTAATACCACGTGTGCTAACGGCAGCAAGAATGGTATTTGCCCAACATTGGAAAAATGAAAACTTACCAGCTGAAGAAGTACTAATTAAGAAAATTCTAGAGTGCGCAGAAATGGATAGATTGACTTTAGAGATAAAAGAGAAAGAAGACTCAGTGTGCTTTAGAACATGGGATAATTTCTATCAGTGGCTAGAAAGACGAATTAGAGAAGGAATGTGATATATAATCTTGAATATATATTAGCAAGAAGAAGGCTATTGAGTGATTAATTAACATATTGTTTATCATAATTAACTATTTTCTATTACTGTTTGTGAAATACGTGAACCCAGTCATTATGCTGTTTGCTAAATATTGAGAATGTTACTTGGAAAAACCCCAACCCCCAACCCTAACCTTAATCCTAACCCCGTAAAAACTAATAAAATCTATACCAAAAAAAAGATATGATCATGGATCTCCCTTCATCTAACTTAATATCTCCCTAGACTGTGCAGTCACCTGTGGCAGTTATGAGCACAATGAATACAGGCAAAAAAGAGGATTAATTTCTAATGTTCTTCACAGGGAGAGCAAAAAATCATCTATTTCAGACAATAAAATAACCATTCATCCATCCATCCATCTAAACAGCTGGATTTTGAACTAATTTTCCTGTTGCAGATTAAAAAGAGAAACTAGGAATACTTCTGTGATGTGATTTTAGATCTGTTTCCATATTGGCACCAATGTATAAAGGGATCCCTCCCCCAACCTCAAGAGAGAGAACAACAATTCCCAAAGCCTGCATTTAGCTCTTATTTAATTAATACTATTTTTAAAATGTTGTTTAAGCGGAATGTAACAAATACATTGCTTCAGGGCAACTGAGATTTAATTAATTCGCCCACTGTATTAAGTCAAGCATGCCTAATCTCTATAATTAATCTGGTTTAAGAGGAGAATGAAGTTTATTATATTGCAATTATAGAATCAATATTGATTGGAAAGCTAATTTGTTCAGTGGGACAGCAATGTGGAAACTACTAAGGAATATTCCAACCTTGCTTCTTAATCCGGTTTCCCATGCATAGCTTTCTCTCAGTGTCTGTCCCTTGATCTGGAAAAACTGACCATATGGTGAGCTGCTGGTTAAACTGTTATTTAGATCTGAGGAGTTAAAGATAGAGGAAATCCATGGTTTCTAATCTGCCCGGCCTTTCCCACCCAGCTGTCCTGCTGAGGCATTGAGGCTCTAAGTCGCAGAACAAGGAGCTGTAGAGCAGCTCACTGGATTTTGTTGTTGTTAGTTGCAAAGTCATGTCCAACCCATCACGACCCCATGGACAACGTTCCACCAGGCCTTCCTGTCCTCAACCATCTTCTGGAGTCCATTTAAGCTCATGCCTACTGCTTCAGTGACTCCATCCAGCCCCCTCATTCTCTGTCGTCCCCTTCTTCTATTGCCCTCAATCTTTCCCATCATTAGGCTCTTCTCCAGGGAGTCCTTCCTTCTCATGAGGTGGCCAAAGTACTTGAGTTTCAACTTCAGGATCTGGCCTTCTAAAGAGCAGTCGGGGTTGATCTCCTCTAGGACTGACCGGTTTGATCGTCCAGGGGACTCGCAGGAGTCTTCTCCAGCACCATAGTTCAAAGGCCTCTATTCTTTGGCGCTTGGCCTTTCTCATGGTCCAACATTCACAGCCATACATTGAAACTGGGAAAACCATGGCCTTGACTATACGTACGTTTGTTGGCAGGATGATGTCTCTGCTTTTTAATATGCTGTCTAGATAGCCATCTAGAAAGTGACATGCCCCAAAGGTGCTTTTTCAAGAGGCAATTGGACTTTCTTTGTTTTTCCTTGAAGATGTTTCATTTTTCCTCCAAGAAACTTCTTCAGTTCAGAATAGAATAAGTTCTTGGATGAGAACTGAAAGGTTTTCAAGGAAAAACAAAGTCCAGTTGCCTCTTTGGGACAACCAATGACCTGGAATGACTGAGAGTCTCCATAAACACAAAGCAGAATGTTAGAATAGAGGCACAGGGGTTTTAGCCGACTGTGATCTTCCAGTTCAACAATTACACATTTCATTTGAAAATGTCTTCATCCTACAGCTTTTTTTTTTTTTTTTGGACATTTGTTGCTTTCCCACAGATTCTCCATCCTGCCTCGCCACCTCAACACCTCACACAACAGGCAGAGGAAAAATGAATTTCAGCAAAGGATGCCCAGAGCTGTCTGGCGCCTTCCATCCATGCGGTGGCAATGTTGTGTTTTTAATCTTTCTGCTCACAGCTCTGGGAAAACAGGGTCAGTCTGAGGTTACGATTTGCAAAGCATTCATCCTTTTCTGAGGCAAATTCGTCAGTTTCCATGTCAAGCACCCTCCGTTCTGATTTATACTATCCAAAAACATTTATTTTCAAATAATACTACAGACGGTGCAAGCTACGGTGGAGAGCTCAAGCAGACATTTGGCTATAAATGCCTGCTCTTTAGATAATTTGTGCATTCTTTGAAGGACCCTTGATAGCCTTTTGAAAACAGAAGAAAAACCAGCTAATGATTCCGTTCCATCTGAAGTATTAGAACATGGAACAAAAATTGATTTTTGATGGAAGTGGGAAACTACTAAACAAACAAAAAATAATAATAACTACATTTGGTAATATTATTTCCTCTTCCTCCTTCTTTTTTGGGCAGGAATCCTTACTGTCAGGTTTCATTCCTCACCGGTTTTTATTTATTCTACAACTCTTATTTAATGTTTTGCCAAACAGGCTGATCTTTTTTTTTTTTTTTAATAGAAATTTTTATTAATTTTTCAATTAAAACAACAAATACAAATGATGCATCTATATACACCAACAAACAATAAAAATACTCAAAACATTTTCGGATACACTCGGCAGTCCCCGCCTTGCCTCCACCCTCATCCACTTTACCTCTCCTTCCTCCCCCTGAACCCACAACCTCTCCTCCTTTTCTTACCNCACCTCGTCGAGTGCAGCTTGGGGTACCAGCCGAGTATATCCTCTTATTAATACAATTCCATTATATACCTATAATAATTGAATACATCAAATTATAATCTCCCCCTAATCGCCTCCCCTCCCCGACTTCCCAGAACTAACACACTCCTAAAACAATCAGTTATATAAGAAAAAACTTTAACTCGAATAATAAAAAAAAACAAAAATTATACTATTTTAACACCAACACTCATATATAATTATCCATCTTCCCCCAATCCAAATATCTAAAAATTAAACTTTACCATTTCTCATTATGATAATCCCATTAAATACAGAAACAGGCTGATCTTTAGGCAGCTGCCGCCCATTTCATTTGCGTAAGGCCAAATTTAGAAGAAATGAAAACATCCCGAACAAATCCCATCCTTTCCCCTGCAATCCTATCCTTTCCACAACAAAATAAATGACTTAAAAACTTGTCCTAGTTTTACTGGACAGGTTGAGAAGACGCGCTGTAAATACTACACTCAGGAGCTGCTTGCAATTCTCTGCTCCTCAAGGTTTACTTCTCCCCCCCCCCCAGCTGCACATAGTTCTTCAGAAAAATATAAATGGGATCTATCAAAGCTGTCCCGCAGAATGATGAGCAGAAGGGAGATTTTTCTCCCTCCAGTCTTCCAGATCTGCTTTTTAAGTTGTGATTGAGGCCCAGACCTTCTTTCCCTTGAGGTGAAAGCTATGCCATTAAAAGTCTACTTATTTAACCTCAGCTTTACAATCCATAATATGTCACCAAAATGAAGACTAGACATGACAAGAATTGGGCCGGGGAGGGGATGCATGCCACAATGGCAGCCTTATGCTAATGCTTCTCCACTCATCCCTTAGTCCTGTTTGGGTCGTTTTCCAGGAGGAACATAGAAATGGCTTTGAAGAAGAAATTCAATAATTGTTAGGTAAACACCAGTTCAGCCCTGAAAGTAGGTGAGAAAGAAACCCAAGACTACTCAGTCTTAATTCCCTTTGGGATAAAAGAGGAAAGGAAAGAAAGAAAGACTCTACTAGGCTTTCAAGATTTTGTTTTTATATACTCTGCCAGGAAGGAAGCAGAGTTCCCATAGTGCTTGTGGTGTCTGTTCCTTGACCTGGCCTACCTCAAAGGCTGACAATTCTTGAGGTACCAATATTGTGGACAACACAAGACAACTTGAACCAATTAGGCAAGATCTGGCTCAAAAACAGCAACTGTGCCAGGGACCTTGGACTCCTAGTGGACGATCACTTGACTATGAGCCAGTAGTGTGCAGCAGCAGGCAAAAAAGTTAATACAATCCTGGCTTGTATAAACAGAGGCGTAGAATAAAGATCACACGAAGTATTAGTACCGCTTTATAAAACCCTAGTGAGACCACACCTGGAATATTGCAACCAATTTTGGTCACCATACTACAAAAAAGATGTCAAGACTTTGGAAAAAGTTCAGAGAAGAGCAGCTAAAACGATCAAAGTCCTGGAGACTAAAACATAAGAAGAACGGCTACAGGACTTGGATTTGGCTAGTCTAGACAAAAGAAGAAATGGGTGACATGATAGCAGTGTTCCAGTATTTGAGGGACTGCCACAATGAAGAGGGCATCAAACTATTCTCCAAAGCACCAGAGGGCAGGACAAGAAACAATGGTTGGAAACTGACCAAAGAGAGAAGCAATCTGGAATTAAGGAGAAACTTCCTAACAGTGAGGACAATTAACCAATGGAACAGCTTGCCTCCAGAAATCGTGGGCGCTCCATCACTGGAGGTTTTTAAGAAGAGACTAGACAGTCACTTGTCTGAAATGGTATAGGTTCTCCTGCTTGAGGAGGGGGCTAGACCTCCAAGGTCCCTTCCAGCTTCTACTATTCTATTCTATTCTATTCTATTCTAGTCTAGTCTAGTCTAGTCTAGTCTAGTCTAGTCTAGTCTTGTCTATTGTCTATTCTATTCTATTCTATTCTATTCTGTGGCAGAGGAAGGGAGATTTGGTGTAGGCTGGTCTTCCAAGGCAATCTTTTTGTAAACCTTGAAGGATGGATCTCCCAACAACAACAGAGATACACACCTTTCCATTTCCCTACAGTTTGTTTTGCTGCTCAGTGTATGCCTAGGCATGCAACAGATACTCTAATCTAAGGAATGGTTCCCACATAACCCTGTCATAGCAGAGCTGCAATAAATTCCAAGATAACCCATAATATTCCACAAGCTAAGGCAGAGGTCAGGGAGTGGTCAAAGGTTCCTTTCTATCTTTTCAGTTAGAGCAAGATTGGAAAATCTGAATTTTACACTTAAAATTGGGGGTGGAGGTGGTGCTTCTCGCCATAAGCTACTAATGTGCCCTGACATACACCCATCACGTTTCTGCTGGTAGATATTACATATTATAGCTGGACAAGCCCACTGTCTTCAGGAGAAGGTAATCTGCCCTGACTTTCTTTCTCTCTCACCCAAGAATGAAAGCTACAAAGGACTCTCTATCCTGCTTCTGGTAGCTTCCTTTGGCTTTAACAAGTCAGGTTGTCTAATGAAGAGAAGGACGAGGGGGGACATGATAGCAGTCTTCCAGTATCTCAGGGGCTGCCCCAAAGAAGAGGGAGTCAAGCTCTTCTCCAAAGCACCTGAAGGCAGGACGAGAAGCAACGGATGGAAACTCATCAAGGAGAGAAGCAACCTAGAACTAAGGAGAAACTTCCTGACAGTGAGAACAATTAACCAGTGGAACAACCTGCCTCCAGAAGCGGTGAATGCTCCAACACTGGAGGTTTTTAAGAAGAGACTGGACAGCCATTTGTCCGAAATGGTATAGGGCAGGGGTAAGCAACCTCGGCTCTTTTATGACTCATGGACTTCAACTCCCAGAATTCCTGAGCCAGCCATAGCTCAGCTTGGAAACCTCTCCCTTTCCTCTCAGCATGGCTGGCTCAGGAATTCTGGGAGTTGAAGTCCACGAGTCATAAAAGACCCAAGGTTGCCTACCCCTGGTATAGGGTTTCCTGCCTGAGCAGGGGGTTAGATTAGCTGACCTCCAAGGTCCCTTCCAACTTTATTATTATTATTATTATTATTATTATTATTATTATTATTATTATTATTATTATTATTATTATTATTATTATTATTATTATTATTATTATTATTATTATTATTATTATTATGGATCGTTGCACAGTCAGCCAGATGTTCAGACTGGATTTGGCATTTTTGTCTACCAATCGAGTCCTTTCCCAGGACCTGGGATAGGCAGATATGGGTGTTTGATGGTATTACAGATATCGTCGCAGGATGGAAGCAGTTCCTAGTAAGGCCGCCTTTTGCAATTGACTAATGGCGAATTTGTCAATGCCAATGGTGTTCAAGTGGTACTCCAGTTGTTTTGGGATTGCACCCAAGGCGCCTATTACTATTGTTGTTATTGTTGTTGTTGTTGTTGTTGTTATTATTATTATTATTATTATTATTATTATTATTATTATTATTATTATTAGGTTCAGAGGGAGCCAGAGTCCAGAGAAGAACCCACCAAAGCTGAATTCTCTCCTCCCCATTAATTTCCTCTGCATGACTCTTCTCATCAGGAGCCCTGTTATACAGACAGGCTTGTTTTGACAACCCTTCCAGGAAGAGACCAAGCATCTACTCGTTGCTAAGGCAACACAAAGATGAAATCCTCTTTTTTCCTCTTCTTTAGCAAGCTCTGCACCTCCACTTCAAGGCTAGCCCGGATAGATCAAAAATAGCACATTCATTATGTACTTCTGAGATATCTTTTCTTCGTTTTCTGTCTGTCAGATTGAAGTTCTCTTTAACCTGACATAATCTCCCCCCCCCCCCCAAGGAAGACTTTTGCTGGTAGAGTAGATCTCCAACAGCACTAAGCCAAAGCAGAGACATTTCAAAGCAAGTGACAAGGTTAATCTCTTGGGTCAAATCATGGAACAGAGGGGGGGGGGAAGTAAACTTTTCTGAAACACCAAAAATGTTGGCATGAATTCAGATTCCTCTGGTGAGGAATCATATACAGACGGGATGGTGCCTTGTGTTGGATTCGGAGTTATAGAGCAGGGCTTTTCAACCAGTGGTATGGGTAGCACATGTGGTACATTGGCACCTAGCAGGTGGTATGCGGCCATCCTAGAAACGTGGTAGCAGGGCAGGGGAATGAGCTGAACCGGTGGCAGCACCGCACAAGCTTGAGCAAGAGATGGCTGGAGCTGCAAGGCTGTCAGGGCTCAGCGGTAGAGCCAGGATCAGCACCAGGCTCCAGCTGGAGCTCGGCACTGATCCTGGCACTTCTGCTGAGCCCAGAAGAAGCACCAATCAGCTGGAAAGCAGCACTGATCCTGGTGCTTCTGCTGAGCCCAGAAGAAGCGCCGATCAGCTGGAATGTTGCAGCATCTCCAGGGTCTTGTGATATAATAATAATAATAATAATAATAATAATAATAATAATAATAATAATAATAATAATAATAATAATAATAATAATAATAATAATAATAATAAAGTTGGAAGGGACCTTGTAGGTCATCGAGTCCAACCCACTGCCCAGGCAGGAACCCTACACCATTTCAGACAAATGGCTGTCCAGTCTCTTCTTAAAAACTTCCAGTGTTGGAGCATTCACCACTTCTGGAGGCAGGTTGTTCCATTGGTTAATTGTTCTAACTGTCAGGAAGTTTCTCCTTAGTTCTAAGTTGCTTCTCTCCTTGATCAGTTTCCACCCGTTGCTTCTCGTCCTTGGCAACTGATTCATATTTATGACGGTCACAGTGTCCCAGGGTCATGTGAAGTGACCAAAACCTGCTGCAACCACCCAGCAGATGGGGGGAATAAAAACCAAACACCCCTCCCCACCCCACCCCGCTGCCAATCCTGAACAGAAATGCTCACAACAATGAAAACCTCAGATAGGTGGGCGGGCAGGCAGGCGTCTTGCTTGGCTGTGGCTCGGGGGGCACTTTTTTCAGTGCCATTGTAACTTCGAACAGTCACTAAACGAACTGTTGTAAGTCGAGGACTACCTGTACTTCATCATTTTTTTCCTTTTTTTTTTTTTGGGTCATCAAGTTTTTGACACCTTGCTAGGCGACTGGTGGTACTCAGATGTTGCCATATCCTAAAAGTGGTACAATGGGTGAAAAGGTTGAAAAGCCCTGGCATAGAGGAACGTGCCTTAAATGGGACTCTCAAAATGTCGTGCCCAAACCCCTCCCTCCTTTGGGTGATTCTCAGAGTGCTCTGAGCTTGCTTGGGTCGGGCCCAGACAATCCATGGGAACGTTGCCTTTCACATGTAAAAGAGAAATCTTTCCAGCGAAGTCAATCCAAAGAAACTCTACACACAGAACCCAAGGGATTCTCTTGGCAGCAGTACGGAAGTGGATCGCCATTGCCTTCTGCCAGGATTGTTGATTTAATACGTGTCAACAAGTCAATGCCAACTCTTAGCAGCTCCTTTGGGAGATCTTCTCTCATCAGTCCATCTACCCTCCTGATGGTTATCCTTTGCTTCCCTTCTACCTTCCACTATGGATTTCTTGAGACCTTCACCTAACGTGCCCAAAATTCAATAGTAATTTAAATCAAATCATTTGTGCCTCCTCAGATGCGAATGCCAGGTTTTGTCTGATGATTCGTGGGATTTTTTTTTCCTTGGATGTCCATAGTATTCTCAGGAACTTCCTCCGATGCCCAAGTTCAAAACCATCAAGACTCTTGTTATCCTGCTTTTTTAAGGAGAGTCATGTGGAAAACCCTTGCTTACATGGATCTTTGCAGGCATAGACATCGGCAGAACATCTGGATAGCTTTTCTAGGATCTTCATTGCAACCCCACCAAGGGCCCAGGCTACCTTAGACTCTAGAATTTCCTAAAGGTCTCCCATGCAAGTATGAACCGGGCCCGATTCTGCTTAAATTCTGAGACTAAGTAAGGTTTGCCAGATGCTGCTAATTGCTGACTATCTTTGACCAAAAATTCTGCTGGGGCAGCTTTGTTTTGTGTGTTGATGCTGTTGATGCATGACGGTCCTGATAGCTGGGGCAAAACCCAACTTTCTGTTCATAACATGTGCCCCGTAGCTGCAAAACCCACCGATTTAAAGGTTAGGATCTGTTGACATTCTAATAAAGAGTTGAGCTGTTTCCAAGAAAATATTTTATGGCTATTGGTTGCCAGTTATGGTTTGTTTACTTGAGTGTGTAAACACCATACCAAATGGAGTCATTGATCCATTCCATTCTCCAGTAAGAGAAACATTGGAGGAGAGCTATTTTTAATGTACTTTTTTTTAAAAAAAACCTTCAAGTTAATCTTCTGTTGCTGGTTTTAAGCCCTCTGGTTACCATGGAAACTGCCACAGCTCCTAACTGTGTGCTCCTCAGAGGCTTAATCGCCTTCCAAGTTTCATAAACTTTCTATTAACCTTCACCTGGCAGTGAGACATGTGTGATGCCAGATAATGAGCTGAAATTAATCGGCTAATATGATGGATCTCTTCTCCTCGTCTTTACATTTCTTTCCTCAAATATCCTTCCTCTCTATCAAGTCAGATTTCCTGTAAGTACTTGCAAGGATGCGTCTGGCCCTTTCTGTCATAGCAACTGGCAGCAACATCCAGGGTGAGAGATACTCAAAAAAATCCAAAGATGGCACTGCAGGAGGCCAAATTTGATGTATCCATATACTGACTTAGTATATCTTGTAATGATTTGTAGAGCTCTGCAGGTAATCCATCTGGACCCCCGGGCTCTTATCATTTTTTTTGCCTTTTTATGGCCTCTGTTATCTTCATCATTGATATTTTCCCATTTAATATGTTTTGAATATGCTCTGGAATTTTTTTGCAAGTCTGCTTTTTTTAGGTACTGCTGTATTTTTTTCTTTTGAAGTTTCCTCTGCGTTGTAAAATATCTCGTAAAAGTCTTTAATCATTTTGTTTAATTGCGTCATCTTGAAACTGTAATTCACCTTTTGGGTCTTGCAACTTGTTTATCAGGGTTTTTTCTCTTTTTCTTTTTTCAGTCTATATGCTAACCATCTCCCCGGTTTATTGGCATTTTCAAAAAAAGTTCTGTTTAGCCCTTTTCATCTGTTGAGCCATTATTTCCGCCTCTACTAAGTTTAGTTTATGTTTTATTATCTCCATTTGCTTCTTAAGTATTTTCTTTTGTGGGCCTATTTGCCCTTCTAATTCTCATTTTCTAAATTCTTCCTTCAACTTTAACTGTTGTTGTTTTCTTTCTTTATTCTTTTTAGCAGCATAGGTTATAGCCAGCCCTCTGAAATATGCTTTAGCTGTGCCCCACACATTTTGAAGCGACATCTCTTCTTTCTTATTTATTTTTTAAAAAAAGAAGTCCATTTCCTTTGTCGCTAGTTGTATAAATTCTTTTTCTTTCAGTATAGATTTGTTCAAGGACCATCTTAATTTTTTTCTTGGCTCCTCTCCAAGTCATCTTTAATGGATTGTGATCTGCCCAGATATTAATTTCTATCTCTGTTTCTTGTATCATTGCACTAAGTTCCAAGGATGTCCATATCATATCAATTCTAGACCATGATTTAGGTCTATTTGAATAAAATGTATATTGCAGTGTGCCAGGACACACTGGAAAAATTCGGTCTCTCTTAAGAAGAACTTGGAAGAATGGATACGGGCATCCTCTTTTGGGATGGCCTAGCTCAGTGGTGGCAAACTCAGAGCCAGCACGCGGAGCCCTCTCTGTGGGCACACGCACCATCACCCCAGCGCGTGTCTCTAAAAGTTTGCCATCACTGGCCTAAGGCCAGCCAGGCTGGGGCTGCCATTGGGGAGCCCACCATCCCACCCGCCAGAGACTCCCTGGATCTCCCCCAACCCTGCCCGGCTCCCACAGGTGTCCCTCCCCATAAGCAACATCAAGGTGGCCACGCCCACCCCGGCCATGCCCACCCAATCTGCCGTGACTACTACAGCCACACCCATCCAGTGGCCATGCCCACCCAGTCTGCCAAGCCCACTGTAGCTGCGCCCGCTGAGTGGGCCACACCCACCCGGCACCCGGCGATACATAAGTGGGTTTTGGGTTGCAGTTTGGACACTCAGTCTCTAAAAGGTTTGCCATCACTGGCCTAGCCTGATTGCTTTTGATGACTGAGTGTTTTGGGGATACTGATAGGCAAGCTTGGTCTCTCTTGGAAAAGCTACTCTACTCAGTGGCAGGACGTGAACATCTCAGGATTGTAGCTTGTTGGCAACACACTATGCAATTGTCAGACCTGCCCCAACTTAGATGTCTAGGAAAGAAAAATCCTTGATTCCATTTGATTGAAGTGATAGGTTCTTTTACTACAGTTAAATGGTTGTAGCGAAAGTAAAGCTAGATCTGAGTATTCCTGTGCTTGCCAAGATGTTCCAGAACAATTTGCCAACATGTTGGAAATGTAAAAAAGTACATGGAACATATTATCATTTATGGTGGACATGCCCAGTTGCGAAAAAATACTGGACTAAAATAAGAAGATGGATCGAAGAAATAATAGACCAACCCGTAGACTGGAAACCAGAGATCTTTTTGCTGGGTATTTTAAACAGAAAATATAATAAAGAAATAAGGTACTTAATTTTACATATAACAACGGCAGCAAGAATAGCATATGCACAGTTCTGGAAAAATGAGAATATACCATCAGAGGAAGAAGTGATAAAGAAAATCCTGGACTGTGCTGAGATGGACAAATTAACAAAAGAGATAAAAGAAAAGCAAGACACAGAGTACTATCTAATATGGAACAAGTGGTATGACTGGTTGGAGACTAGAAATAATAGAGGAGAATAAATG